AAATACTCCCCCATGTACCCCATACAAAGGCTAATGCAAGATCCAACACAAGAACGAATACACGTTTCTTTACATTTTACTCTCTTGCAAGATACACGAATTCATACACGTATTCTATAAACATCGATTGGTATTTATTGTACAATTATTATGCAAATATTTTGTCGAATTCTGAACGTTCTCGTTCCGCGCTTTTAAGTCGCTCCCACACCCTTGATCTACTAGTTCTGGACCATCCACGTGTCTTAGCGTGTTGGACCAAGCTTATGTGTGCACGGGTGGGTCCGGCATCTGTTAACAACATATTCTGGGGTCAACATGTATCAAATCTATTATATACAAATAATATTTAGATGGTCAATGTGACGGGTGACAGGGCTATTTGTCAGCCTAATTAATTTTTAGAAAATATAGGAAATTCAATCCATATTTTAGTTTGTGAGAAAAAAAATTCATGAAAGAGAACAAACATCATATAGGATTTTCATTAAATTGAAGAATCTTTTGGTTCTTCATTAAATATCCATTTGAATTTTTAATTTCGCGTCATTATTGATCCAGAGATGATCCAACTGTCCATGCCAATCAAATTGAACTTTTGGCTCAATATAAAATATAATTCAACTATTTAATTTTGAAGAATATGATTAAATATTATATAATCATATAATGATCAATTTTCACATGACATAAGTCGTATGTTTTTTTTTTTAGGGATAAACACAAAATCTTAAATTACACATGATATATTCTTCAAAACATGTGCTATTTCAAGAGTACGTATTTTATTATTACTTATTTAGAGCAATATTAACATTCTTTTGAAATATTTGACTCATAGTGTCATGCTCTTCAAGAACAATAACATATTATTACTTAAAATAATAAATTATATAAGAATTTACTATTTAGGAGTAAAAACATAATTTACATTAGATCATATTTAAATATGTTCTTCGAGAACAAGTAAAGCCTACCTAAAATATCTGTCAATAATAGTGGGCTACTTCAGGAACAATAATATTATTTTAGAATATTAACAATGTTGTGTTACTTTAGGAGCACTTATAAATTATTGTTTAAAAATATTTAACTCTTCGTGTATGTTTTCTAGACAAATATTAATATTTGCAGAGCTGTATTTTTTCGGAGTACTTTATATTTTACTATTGCTTCTTTAGCAAGAACAAATCAATTTCTTTAGTTGAAATATTAAAAATTATAATTCATGCTCTTCATGAGCAATATACCAATATTCTTCTGGAATATTGAAAACTATAATTTATGCTCTTCGGGAGCAAATATTATTCTTCTGGAATATTAAAAGAATGTAGTTCATGCTCTTTAGGAGCAAATAATATTCTTCAATAATATTAAATAATATTGTGCTACTTCAGTAGCAACAACAAACTTTTTCTAATAGATAGATCTACGACTAATATTTTTTTAGAATATTAATTACGATGTTGTGCTACTTTAGGAGTAACAACATGATAAATTATTAGTTTTAGATTTATAATAGAACATCTAAAATTATTTAATCAAGTTAAATAAATTAATTATCAAACATAGATTAAGAATATTTTCAAATATGCACGTGAATTCCTCAATTGTCAAATGTAAAGGCAGAATTAACGCATTACGGAGGCAAAAAAATGACAATTAGAAAAAACACTTAATTTAACGCATGCGTATATAAAATGTGCACACGCACATCAATTCATACAAAGTGATACGATATTGATAAGACATGAAATGTTATGTTTTACATCCATTAATATTTGAATTTTTGTGATTAATTAATGCCTAAATGTACTCATTACCCTTATATTTTGATTTAGGTTGTAAATGGATGGAAAATATAGAATTTGAAAGAAAAGAGCGAAAAATGATCAAAATGGAAAAAAGTGAAAAGCTCAAGGACCAAGTTGCAAATAATCTATAGATGAGACTGGCGATGGAATGAAAATTCAAGAGTCTTGAAGGTCAACTGAATGAAGAAAGAAATCAAAGTGGTGAGATATAGTCGAAGTATCATTATGTATCAACTTTCAGGCGAAAAAGTTATGTTCGAAATTTTTAGTCTCTACTTTAGACCCATTTTTGATATAGTAAATGTCTGAATTCGGAAAATCCTATTTTATCATATTTGTATATCTTTTATTGTATATCTTTGAGTTAACTTTCTAACTCATCTTGAATCACCTCAGTTGGAGATTGGGAGAGAAAGTTATGACCAAAATACTAAAAGTATCCAGCAGAGAAAATCGTTTGAAACGTACGGTCGCGTGGCTCATTTTCCATGCGGACACACAATCTATTTCAGCGAATTTAGGATCTTGTTTTGACATAACCATGCGATAGCACACAAAATAACCATGTGGTCGCATGGTAGAAATTGGTAATGCGATTTTTTCGTTTCATAATCCCGTCCAACCACGTATGGAAACAAATCTTTTCACCATATACCCTAATTCACCCAAGAACAAAAGAGAACGCCCCAACCCTAATTTTCTCTCTTTGTGCTCAAGATCTATGATGTGTATCTAATTTTCTCATACATGATCGAGGATATTAAAGCCCCGGAATCTACACAATTGTGAGATCGAATTGTTTTATTAGTTTAATTCATGTTTTTGGGTATTGAACACTCTTTTGCATTTATTTTCAATGATTGTTATGCTTAATTGCTAGGAGATCTACTAGTTTGTTATTCATCGTAATATATCGCTAAGTTAAATATCAAATTTATAATTGTTTGGTTGATTTAACTTGTAAAGCAACCAGGATTAATAATTTGCTTGTTTGGAAATTGTTAAATCTTAGGAAGAATGTTTGAATAGGTTAAATGCAAAAGTGTGGCTTGTGTTATTTAGTTCATCGATTTCTCTAATACGTAAAGCTGTTATTGAATTAAATCTTAGCACTTGTATTTGGTTATTTGATAATTAGGATTAGTTAGAAGGTCATTGCCCTAACTAATTATACTTAAGGAAGAATATGAAATTAATTTGAATGGTAATTATTTTTCCAACGATGAATATCCAAAAATATGAATTGATTCACACTTGCATCCATGATCAGTTGTAAAAATTCCGAAGGTGGATATTGACTAAGACCAATGTTAGTTTTATTGATTAATTTAAATCGTTGATTGCGTTGTTATTGATTGCTTTTATTGTAGTTGATTTTAATACTGTCAAAACACCTCTCCAAAACATTGTTTATTTGGCATAGAAATAAATCAATCACTCTTCGTGGGATCGACTCTTGCTTCCACTACTACATTAATTTTAAGAAGTATATGTTTTAATTTGGAGTGCCTATGACAACAAGCACCAAATTTAGGCGCCGCTGTCGAGGAGTGATTTAGTTTATTTTTGTTCACTAAGTTTTTTAAAAAAAAATTGGTTTATTTTGTTTAGTTTAGTTTACTTTTTTTTAATAGCTTCCTTAATTGTTTATGCCCGTAACTCAATTCTCTAATCAAGCTGAATTGCAGTACGATTCAGAATTAGAAAAAACTTTGCACAGGTTAAGGAATGGCATTCAGTGGAATTTCGAGGGACACATGGCTAGACATCAAATTGCTTGCCGCTCCAAATTTGAACTAACAACCTCTCTGCATCACTTTTCCTACTTTAGATGTTGCCACTACTTTTGAATTGAAGTATGGACTAATACATCTTTTGCCCACCTTTCATGGTCTTGCAGGTGAAGATCCTTACAAACATTTAATGGAATTCCATGCGGTAAGCAAGAGTATGAAACCCACAGGGGTATCTGAAGAGCAAATCAAATTGAGAGTCTTTCCGTTCTCTTTGAAGGATTCATCTAAGGACTAGCTCTACTATTTACCATCTGGAAGTGTCACAACATGGAAGGAGATAAAATAAATGACTAATCACCATACCTCCAGACAGAAAAAGGTTGAACTCAATTATTTTCAATATATCGGTTTAACATACGAGATAAGAGTTCTTGTGCAATAATAAAGAGATACAGTGATAGAAGATCTCCCTGATGCAAGCCCCGAGAAGTTTTGAAGAAACCTCTGATCCTATCGTTTAGCATGACTGAATAATAAGGCGAAGAGATGCAATTGTAGATAAGATTTCACCACTGATCTGAAAAGCCAAATTTTTTAAGCACTCTAAGCAAAAAGTTCCAGTTTACTCTATCATAAGCTCTGGCCACATCAATCTTCATCCTAATGTCGCCGGCTTGCCGTCCCTAATTTTTTTATGCAATCCGTGGACCATTTCTCGAGCAATAGAAATGTTATAAAAAATACTTTGACCATGAAGAAAAGCAGATTGTTCTCGAGAGATCATACCTTCAATTAGAGGGGCCATTCTACTCACCATGATTTTTGATATGATCTTATATAGACAAGAGCACAGAATAATTGGCCAGAATTTGGTAAAACTGTTCGGATCTTCAGTCTTTGGAATGAGGACAATATTGGTGGCGCAAAGTGCAGTAATAAAAGGAAATCCTCCAAAGAATTCAATCGATACATTCAGATGGTCATCTTTCCCAATATCCCAAGCATGAATAAAGAAACTAGCACTGAAACCATCCGGTCCTGGGCTACTGTCACCTGGGATGGACCAGAGAGCCAAACGCACTTCCTCCAAATTCGGCATTTTACATAAAGAGATGATCTCTTCCTGGGAGATGATTGGTGAAATAAGATCGAGGTCATTGTCATCTAAAGATGTTGGGGACACAGAAAGTAGATCTTTGAGAAAACTAATTGCTCCCTCATGAACCTCCTCCACCGACTTTAGTTCCTCCCCATTTTCAAGAATCATGTGATTGATTGATTGACTCTTCTTCTTATTCTTTACACTAGCATGAAAGAATTTTGTATTAGCTTTCCCTTCTTGAAGCCATTTGATCAGCTACTTTTGTAGCCAAAATGATTCCTCTCGTTCTAGCCATTTGACATAATCTTGTCTACATTGCAAAAGTTCTGATTCGGATTCTGTTGAATATTAGTTCAGTAATGATTCTTTAAGATGAACCAATTTTTCCTCTAAAAACTCCATTTCTTGTTCAATTCTCCCGAACACCTCCAAATTCCATTTTCGAAGAGCACATCTAAGGGCTTTGAGCTTGTGAAATAGGCAGACCATAGGAGATCCTGTAACACTCATCTCCCATACTTAACTATTGGTAAAAATTTCTCATGTGAACACCACATCCATAAGAATCTAAACGGCGTTGGGCCCTTTACCACCATATGAGTCATGTATTGAATAATCATGGTGTAGTGATATGAGGATGCTCTGTCCAAGTACGACATAGAAACCAAAGGAAATTTGTCTTTAAAGTTTTGATTCACCAAGATACGATCTAAGCAAGCCCAAATACGGCGTAAACCTTGACGACCATTATACCATGAAAATTTTGGGCCGTCAAACGGTACCTCCAGAAGATCGGAATCATGAATAACAGTGTTGAAATCATGCTTTACTCTCGAGGGAGGAATAATGCCACCAATCTTTTCGTCATTAGTTCGAATAGCATTGAAGTCACTCCCTATCAACCATGGGTCCGCATCACAGTCTACATTATGTATTAGATCCCACAGCTCCCTTCTACGTTGTAGGTAGCAGCTAGCATAAACAAAGGATGTACAAATACGAATTCCCTCCCAAGAAAGCCATCCCGAAATAATTTGATCCGACAAAATAACTTGTTCAATCGTAACATCGTTGGCCCAAAACAACCATATTTTACCACCAATGCTGACATCAGACATATACTTTGGGAGCTTGAAACGTCTCGCCCATCTATCCATTTTTGAACTGACACCATAGGTTCAAACAGTCCCATAACCGATGGATTAAATTTTCTATTTAACTTCATTAATCGATCTTTTGATGAAACCACACCTCTAATATTCCACATCAAGATCTTCATCATTAATAAAAAAATTTGGATCAAGTGGTTATTCTAAGAACCACATTTTTTCTATTATTCTCCCTTGATTTTCTAGCTGTACGACCTGTATCCAAATCAGTTTCATAATTCAAAATTTGAAGTTCTGGAAGTTCCTCTTCATAATCCCCCTCTGAAGCTGTTTGATGCGGTGTGAAAACACCTTCATTTCCCCCAGATTCAATGTTATCCTCCTCATGTTCCTGACCACCAGTTTGTGTTTCCAATATGACTCCCTCCTGGAGCTCCTCACATGTAACCTGCTGTGTATCGACAGGAGATTGAGTATGCTCTCTTGGTTGTTTCTGCGAAACCACTACTTCAGCAATTTTTTCTAGTTCATTCATCAAATAGCTTCTTGCGTTCCTTTTATATCCCATCTAATAATGGCCAGTTTGAGCAAACTTTCGCCAGAAGTGTAAATATTCTCTTCTCCCATCAATAGCCTATTTTCTTCAACATCCCTACTAACAACCTCCACATCCATTCCACCATTCCTACCAACATCGTTTGAAATTAGAGGGTCTAACATCATAACAGGCATTCCATTTTCTGCACCACCAACCTGTTCCTCCACAGATAAATTGTAATACATTAAACAAAAAAAAAAAAAAAAAAAAAAAAAAAAAACCAAAAAAAAAAAAAAAAAAAAAAAAAAAAAATATAAAAAAAAAAAAAAAAAAAAAAAAAAAAAAAAAAAAGTCAAACTTCAAAAAAAAGAAAAAGAAAAGAAAGGAAATTACAAAAGATAAAAACCAAAATGGAAGGCGGTTATCAAACCAACCCATTTCCAATGTGTGTATATATATATAAATATATAATCCAAACCTTTAACATACACTTTACACACACCAAAACAAAAGAACGGACCAGAGAAGAAAAAGAGAAAGGAAAAAGAGGGGAAAAAAAGAGGAAGAAAAAGAAGAAGAAAAAAAGAAAAATTTTGCCAACGTGTTAGAAATTAAGTAGTCTATACTATTTAGGTTTGAATTTCTCAATTTCGAAAGGTAAGTAAAAGTTACTTATTTAAAGGTTATGTTTGATTTTATAGTTGTTAAGTTGTTAGATTAAATTCAATTTTATTAAAGGGGTTAAGCATAATAAACTATGAAATTGAGTGAAATGAAAGAAAAATTAGTTTTACTAATTAAGGAGACTTTAGAAATCGCATAAACGTGAAATAATTAAGTTTGGGTATCGTCTATTTAATTAATGAAATTTCTTAAAATAGTCAATTATTGATTTAAAAATTATATTATATTTCAGGCGGTAATATGGATATCGGGACAGCGTACCAATCGAATTGATTTTGGCGTACATAGTTCTGTATGTGGAAAAAAATCTAAATATTTTCAAGTATTGATAAATTAATTATACCAATACATTATGTGCAATTATGTGTCTGAATTACATGATTATCATGGAAATGTCTTTTATTATGATACATGTGAGATTTCAAAGATTGTATACGTTACATTGTGACTTGGTATATGAGACATGTGATATTGAGATTTGTTTGGTATGTGAGACGTGATATTGAGATTGGCCATAAATGTACCCATATTTATATATTTCTTCTAATTCACAGAGGGGCATTGGCCGTGGTCTATCCTACACGGAGGGTCTTGACCGGATATTGGTCTTGATCGTGTACATATAGTTCACAGAGGAGTCTTAGCCATGTTCTATAATTGATTATGAGAGGTCTTTGAGACCGGCTTTCGTTCATAGAGGGGGCCAAAGGCCCGTTGCGAAAGTTGTTAACTCGAGAGGTAAATTACATATTTCAGTCAGAGGGTACATTTTTGGTAGATTTTTAAGCACGTTTGATATGATGAGATTATAGCATGGTTATCAGCTGATATTATATCATAATTTTAAGATATGTTTATGACCTTATGTGAATATTTCACTTTATAGCTATAATTACATGATGGTAGTTTGTGAATTATCAAACGATATGGATTTGATTTTCAATAAAAATATATAAATGAAAAAAGTATATTTATTTTGAACTTCTCCACTCACTGAGCTATCAACTCAAATATTTTTTCACGTTTTTCCTTATCAGGCAACAATTGATAATTTGGGCATCTTTTGGAGTTGAGCCTTGATTTTGGAATCAGAGCCACACGACACAGTTTGTTAGCATGACTCACTTCATAGAACATGTAGTTAGTGTTTTGGGATGCATGTTCATGTCTAGATGTGATTTTGCATCACTTGTAGATAGTTGTGGAGTTCACTATGTATTATGTATCCATATGTATATTTCATTGTATTTCTTGGTAAAAGTGGAGATTTCGACTTATCTTTATTGTGTTGTGCTATAGTTTGGGATTTGTGTGAAATTGATCACAAGTTGGTTAGTCCTGTTTACAGGGGAGATAATGCCGAAATTTTGTTAGAAAATGATGTATAAAAAGTAATATATTGTATTTGTAGTAGCCTTAATGGTGGGTCCGACTTTTAGTTGGTATCTATCATCGGCGCATGCCACGTCCGGATCTAGTGGTGTTACATGGGGCGGGGTGTGTTAGTTTGGTATCAGAGCATGCATTAGAGTTCATGGGTTTGCACTGTACATACATACATTCTGATATTTAGCATATCATGCATAACTGTAGGAGAGTTATGCCTCGTGGTGACAAAACTCGAAGGCTCCAAGATGTGTTGCCCTAGTCTCACATTGCTCCTGATAGAGATGAACTGAAAGAGCCCGAGACAGTAGATGAATCAGTTCACCAGCCTCCTGAACAACATGGACAGGGAAATGTGATTGGAACTGATCATATTGCTGTTGAAAGAATTGCTATTGCCGTTGCATCTACTATGCGTAATACTGACAGAGATTTTAGTATTGAAAAGACTACAAAGTTAGGGGCTAAAGTGTTCACTGGCACAGCAGATCCTGCAGTTGCGCAGGTATGGATGACAAAGATAGAGAGGGTATTTGACGTTATGGGTTGCTCAGACGATCGAAAGTTATGTCTTACCACCTTCTTATTAAAGGAGGGTGCGTATGATTGGTGGCAGTCGGTATGGAGCACATATCTAGACCCTTCCATCATTACTTGGACAAATTTTCGTCGTATCTTTTACGAAGCCTATTACCCTCGGTCCTATAAAGATGCAAAGCAAGAGGAATTTCTGAAACTAATACAAGGCCAGATGACTATTGCAGAATATCAGGTGAAATTTATTGAACTTTCAAAATATGCCCAAGTTCTGGTATGCAACGAAATTGATAAATGCAGACGGTTTGAAAATGGGTTAAGGGAAGAAATCAGGTCAGTAGTAACAGCTGCAGGCTGGAATGAATTTGGCAAATTAGTGAAATCAGCTTTGAGAGTAGAAAAGAGCACTCCTGATAGGTCAAGTGGTAGAGAACAAACAATGTTCAGAGCAAGCGGTAGTCAGACAATAGCAAGTGCTTCTAGCTATAGACCACCACGGAGGGACAGTAGAGGATTTCGACCTAGTGTGTCTAGTTCAGGTCAATTCAAATCTCGACTTCGAGGAAGTCAGGGTCCTAGATTCAGTCCAGTACTGTACAACAGCCATTGGCCAGTCGTAATTATACTCAGGGTTCTTTCCAGAGATCATTTACTCCGAGACAGGGAGAGAGTTCTACTAGTGCCAGATTTTCTTTTTGCAAATTATGTGGGAGATCTCATCCTGGAGAGTGTTTAAAGTTCAAGGGAGTTGGCGTTTGCTATCGCTGTGGCCAAGAAGGGCATCTAAAAAGAAATTGTCCAGTTGTATTCCAGGAGGGTGGCATGGCACAGAGGATGTTTCCTCAGCAGAGTGCTAGTAGTACAAGACAGAATCAAACTCAGAGAGATGATTCAGCTAATGGAGCAGGTACAAACAGTGTGGCCAGTCTAATATCACAAGCAATAGTGGTACAAAATCAAAAGGGTAGGCAGGACGACCGAAGACCTAGGGCAAGGTTTTTGCTATGACTCAGCAGGCGGCAGAGGGGTCACCAGATGTTATCATGGGTATGTTGTCTATTTTTGATAGAAATGCTCGTATTTTGATTGATCTTGGATCTACACAATCTTTTATATTATTTGCATTTGCTTTATATACGAATCAAAAGCCAGAACTTTTAGACAGTTGTTTGGTAGTGAATACAGCAGTAGGAGAATCACTATTAGCAAACAATATATATCGAGATTGTGGGATTAAGGTAAAGGAGAATGAGCTGAAGGCAAATTTGATACTTCTTGACATACATGATTTCGATGTTATCTTGGGTATGGACTTTTTGGCTACAAATCGAGCTTCAGTTGATTGTTTTCGAAAAGAGGTTGTGTTTAGACAACCAGGACAGCCTGAAATTATATTCAATGGACAGCGCAGAATTTTACCGTCTTGTGTGATATCTGCTATTAACGCTAGAAGATTACTCAACAAGGGCTGACATTCATATTTGGCTCATGTAATTGATACAGATGTTAGCAAACTAAAACTTGAAGATATCCCAGTGGTCAAGGACTTTCCTGATGTATTTCCAGAAGAATAACCAAGCTTACCATCAGACAGAGATATGGAGTTCACTATAGATCTGATTCTAGGAACTGCACCTATTTCACGGGCACCCTATAGAATGGCACTAGCAGATTTGAAAGAGGTAAAGGTTCAGTTGCAAGAGTTGATAGACAAGGGTTTCATCAGACCTAGTATATCTCCGTGAAGAGCACCAGTTTTGTTTGTGAAAAAGAAAGATGGCACCATGCGACTGTGCATAGATTACAAACAATTGAACAAGGTGACAATTCGCAATAAATATCCTTTGCCACGTATTGATGATCTGTTTGATCAGCTTCGCGGTGCTGCAGTATTTTCAAAGATTGATTTGCGTTCTGGATATCATCAACTTAAAATTAGGGATAGTGATGTGCTAAAAACTGCTTTCAGGACAAGATATGGTCATTTTGAATTTCTTGTGATGCCATTTAGGTTGACCAACGCACCAGCAGCATTTATGGATATGATGAATAGAGTGTTTGCCTATATTTAGACAAGTTTGTGATTGTATTCATTGATGATATTTTGGTATACTCTCGAGATCATGATGAGCACACAGAGCATCTCAGAATCATCTTGCAGACTCTACGTGATGAGCAGTTGTATGCTAAATTCAGTAAATGTGAATTTTGGCTTGATAAAGTTGTATTTTTGGGATATGTCATATCAGCAAAAGGAAATTATGTTGACCCGCAGAAAACTGAGGCAGTGGTAAAATGGGAAAGGCCTACTAATGTGACAGAAATTCGAAGTTTTCTTGGCTTAGCAGGTTATTATCATCGTTTTGTAGAGGAATTTTCAAAAATCACTCTTCCTTTGATCAGTTTAACTAGAAAGGATGCTAAATTTGTTTGGAATAAAAATTGTCAAAAAAATTTCCTCGAATTGAAGAATAGATTAGTGTCAACTCCAGTTCTTACCCTTCCATCTCCTGGTGAAGAGTTTGTGATATATAGTGATGCTTCACGTCAAGGTCTTGGTTGTGTTTTGATGCAGAATGGGAAAGTTATAGCATATGCTTCCATGCAGTTGAAGAAACACGAACTGAATTATCCTACACATGACTTAGAGCTAGCTGCAGTTGTCCTAGCCTTGAAAATTTGGAAACATTACTTGTATGGTGAGAGATGCCAGATGTATACAGATCATAAAAGCTTTAAGTATATTTTCGATCAAAAAGAGTTAAACTTGAGATAAAGAAGATGGTTAGAGCTGATAAAAGATTACGATTGCAAGATTGATTATCATCCAGGGAAGGCTAATGTAGTTGCTAATGTTCTCAGTCGGAAAATATCGAGTCCCATGACCCATACTAATGCAGTATGTTCATCTTTGTTTGGTAAATTCAGAGGTTCTCATGCTCAATTATCAGTTACTGGTGTAGGAGCATTGTTTGCCAACTTCCAAGTGAGGCCTACTTTGATTGACACAGTTAGAGAAACTCAAACTCAAGATCTAGTGTTGAGCAAATTGAAAGAAGAAGTTAGTAAAGGTAAGCATACAGATTATATCATTCGAGATGACGGAGCTTTAGTTATGGGAAACAGATTATGTGTTCCAAATGATTCGAAATTGAAGGGAGAAATTCTAGAAGAGGCACATAGTTCAGCTTACGCGATGTATCCAGATAGTATAAAAATGTATCGTGTACTCAAAGAACACTATTGGTGGCATGGAATGAAAAGAGAAATAGCTAAGTTTGTATCCAGATGTCTCATTTGCCAGCAAGTGAAATCAGATCGTTTGAAAACAGCAGGATTGTTACAAACGTTGCCTATTCTTGAGCGGGAATGGGAACACATTACTATGAATTTTCTATTTGGACTTCCACGGACTCAAAGTAGACATGATGGCATATGGATCATTGTAGACAAATTGACGAAGACTGCTAGATTTTTGCCTATTAAAGTCACTTACTCGTTAGATAAATTGGCAAAAATATATGTTGACGAGATAATCAGTTTATATGGGGCACTAGTATCCATTGTTTCAGATAGAGATTCTCGTTTCACTTCTAAATCTTGGCCCAGTTTGTAGAAAGCTATGGGCACTAAACTTCATTTCAGTACAACTTTTCATCCACAAATAGATGTTCAGTCAGAAAGAACTGTTCAGACTCTGGAAGACATGTTACGAGCTTGTGTACTACAGTTCAAAGGGAATTGAGATACTCATCTTTCTTTGATGGAATTTGTTTATAATAACAGTTATCATTTGAGTATAGAAATGACTCCTTTTGAAGCACTATATGATAGGAAATGCAGAACTCCAGTAAATTGGGATGAAGTTGGTGAAAGAAAGTTATTGGGTCCTGAATATGTCCAGATTATTGCTGAGAAAGTAAAAATAATTAAAGAAAAGTTAAAGACAACCCAAGATAGACAGAAGAACTATGCAGATAGACGTAGAAGAAACCTTGAATTTGATGTTGGGGATAGAGTTTTCCTGCGATTGTCTCCATGGAAAGGTGTTATCAGATTTGGTAAATGAGGTAAATTGAGTCCGAGGTATATTGGCCCATAAGAGATTGTTGAACGCATCGGTCCAGTTGCGTATCGATTGGCTTTACCAACAGAATTGTCCAGAATTCATGATGTATTCCATGTTTCTATACTTCGTAAGTATATTCCAGATCCATCTCATGTTTTGGAATCACAACCAGCAGAGTTGAAGGAAAATCTTACCTATGAAGAAGAACCAGTTCAGATATTGGATAGAAAAGAACAGGTTTTACGTAGTAAGACTATTCTTTTGGTTTAAGTCTTGTAGAGGAATCATGCTATAGAAGAAGCGACATGGGAAAGTGAAAAGCAGATGCGTTCTCAGTATCCACGACTTTTTCATACTTGATCAATCGGATTTCAAAGACGAAATTCTTTTAAGGGGGTGAGTTTTGTAATACATTAAACAAAACAAAACAAAAGTCAAACTTCAAAAAAAAAACAAAAAAAAAAAACACAAAAGATAAAAACCAAAATGGAAGGCGGTTATCAAACCAACCCATTTCCAATGTGTGTATATATATATATAAATATATAATCCAAACCTTTAACATACACTTTACAACACCAAAACAAAAGAACGGACCAGAGAAGAAAAAGAGAAAGGAAAAAGAGGGGAAAAAAAGAGGAAGAAAAAGAAGAAGAAAAAAAGAAAAATTTTGCCAACGTGTTAGAAATTAAGTAGTCTATACTATTTAGGTTTGAATTTCTCAATTTCGAAAGGTAAGTAAAAGTTACTTATTTAAAGGTTATGTTTGATTTTATAGTTGTTAAGTTGTTAGATTAAATTCAATTTTATTAAAGGGGTTAAGCATAATAAACTATGAAATTGAGTGAAATGAAAGAAAAATTAGTTTTACTAATTAAGGAAACTTTAGAAATCGCCTAAACGTGAAATAATTAAGTTTGGATATCGCCTATTTAATTAATGAAATTTCTTAAAATAGTCAATTATTGATTTAAAAATTATATTATATTTCAGGCGGCGATACGGATATCGGGACAGCGTACCAATCGAATTGATTTTGGCGTACATAGTTCTGTGAGTGGAAAAAAACCTAAATATTTTCAAGTATTGATAAATTAATTATACCAATACATTATGTGCAATTATGTGTTTGAATTACATGATTATCATGGAAATGTCTTTTATTATGATACATGTGGGATTTCAAAGATTGTATACGTTACATTGTGACTTGGTATATGAGACGTGTGATATTGAGATTTGTTTGATATGTAAGACGTGATATTGAGATCGGCCAGAAAAGTACCCATAATTATATATTTCTTCTAGTTCACAGATGGGCCTTGGCCGTATTCTATCCAACACGGAGGGTTTTGACCGGACATTGGTCCTGATTGTGTACATATAATTCACAGAGGGGCCTTGACCGTGTTCTAGAATTGATTATGAGAGGTCTTTGAGACCGGCTTTCGTTCACGGAGGAGGCCAACGACCCGTGGCAAAAGTTCTTAGCCCGAGATGCGGATTACATATTTGAGTCAGAGGGTACATTTTTGGTAGATTTTTCAGCACGTTTGATATGATGAGATTATAGCATGGTTATCAGCTGATATTATATCATGCTTTTAAGATGATATGTTTATGACATTATGTGAATATTTCACTTTATAGATATAATTACATGATGGTAGCTTGTGAATTATCAAATGATATGGATTTGATTTTCAATAAAAATGTATAAATGAAAAAAATATATTTATTTTGAACTTCTCCACTCACTGAGCTATCAACTCATATATTTTTTCATATTTTTCCTTATCAGGCAGCAGTTGAGAATTTGGGCATCTTTTGGAGTTGAGCCTTGATTTTGGAGTTAGAGCCACACGACAGAGTTTGTTAGTATGACTCACTTCATAGAACATGGAGTCAGTGTTTTGGGATGCATGTTCATGTCTAGATGTGATTTCGCATTACTTGTAGATAGTTATGGGGCTCACTATGTATTATGTATCCATATGTATATTTCATTGTATTTCTTGGTAAAAGTAGAGATTTCGACTTATCTTTATTTGATGTTCTGAATTTTATCCTCCGGTTCCATATGGTCCTCTTTTTCATCATCTTTTTTCCTCCACACCTTTTTCTGTCTTTTCAAAGTATGTATTCCCAAATTATGGTTCTACGCTTCCTCTTTGGACCTTTGTTTTCTACATGTCTTCTCCAAATGTCCTGGATCCTGCACACTTGACAAAAATCTAGTAGTGTCTCATAGATGATCTCTTGTCGTCGACTCGATGGGTGGAATGTCGTCCCTAGCCAAAACGACTTCAATGGTTTTCTAGAAATATCCATCTCAACACAAATACGAGCCCCATCGGCACGTGAGCACATGCCTTGAAATTTTCCCATTTTAGGAAACAAAAGGTCCTCCAATGATATGCAACATTGATTCATGATAGCATAGTAGCAGTAAACTAGGAAGAAAGATCTAAATCAGCACCAAAGTTGATTCATTATCTTCATCAAAATCCTATGACCAAATCAGCATCCTATATGGGGCGTCTTATATTTCAGATGATTCCCTTACACACATCGTATAGAAGTCTTCTTCATTTGTCGGTCTAATGAAAACGTTTCTTGGCCTTTGCATGGTACTAACTGTACATGCACCTTTCAATCCCCATCAAGCCTTGACGAATAGGCAGATCTGATCTAAGGAAGGCCTCCTCTTCAAGAATTTTAGAACAACAGAGAAACGGAAAGGGTTGGCTGCTCGATCCAGTTCAAGGTTTTGAAAAATAGAACCACGTTTCCCCATTCTTCTCAAGAGATTTACGCATATCTATCTCCACTTTCGGGATGGGTTGAGGTCGAGTTTGGAGAATGGATGCATACGTCACAGGCACCCCCGCCGCCCTAAAAGGGGGCTGACAGCCGCTATGCAATGATAGGTAGGGTTTGTTCACTGCCCGCCGCTATTTTGAGAGAGAGAATTTTTTCTCACAACTTTGACACTTAATATATATCGAAAAAACATTTAAGCTATCTTTTTCACCAACTTTCTATTGTTTGGTATAATTTATTTGTTGGTGTCACTTTCATGCTAATATATTCAATATATTAATTGTGCCAAATTTCAATCATTGCTATCACAATATTTAAATGATCTATGTACTTCTCAATAGTTTGTTGTTAAGTAGTAAACTATATAAAATATCTAGACATAAAGACGATCGGACACACAATATTTCATTTATAGATTACCACGGAATATTTGACGAATGTAGAAAACTGAAATATAGCCGATAACATAAGCATTTTTCGTTCATTCCACTATTTTTAACCATCCAAAAAGGAATGACAATTTTTTTCATTCGATAAATTTCAATTACTTCATATTTTTCCTCTCTTCCTCCCACTCCTAGCATACAGAGTTCAGTTAGAAGCAGATGGTATTTAGATTCACATCGAGCATTGTTTCTTCGTCATCCCCACTTCTTCATTTTCAATTGGATTGGTATTACTTGATTGCAACAACAGGGGAGCTCCTTTACTAGAAGACGATACAGACATGCCATTAGGCACACCTTCAATGGCATCATAGTTTGTCCATTTATGCAAAATGTTAAAGATAGAAATATTGTATGGAATATTTTCCATTATATTTTTCCAATTATGTAGAATTATTTACCTTAGTAGTTGATTGTGTAATTATTACACAATCTTTCCTTTAGGTTGTTTCCGTTTAGAGTTATTTGTAACCCTATAAATAGGGTCTTATAAATTGTAATATACAAGATCTTATTATAAATAATTCATATTTTTCTTAACATAGTATGAGAGCAGTTTCAATCCTAATCAGCCTTTGAATTTCGCTTCCAACGAGTGGCTTTGGGAAGCTCATCCAGCTAATTTTTGTTCTTTGGTTCATGTAATCTATCTCAATTTCCACGTTCCTGAAGCTTCAATAAGCTCCAATTGCTGTATGCATGTCTAACTAATTCCAGCCACTATATTTGACTACTCATGTTTCTCCTTCAATTTCTGTGTTTATATATAGCCCCAATTACTGACTTCTCAAAGCTATCCTGATTCGTCTGTACATGAATATATAATAACTAGCCGCTTGGAGCCGCAAAGTTTGATTGAAAAACAGATTCCAATTACTGGAGCTAGATCACAATTTTGGTTGCTATTAAGCTCCCGTTTGATCCCATTAAATTCAATTACATTACATTACATTACATTCCATTTTTCTCTCTCCTATTTTCAACCACACAATCTTCCATAAAATAATATTACACGTAAATCGAAAACTTTTCCTTCTTTTTCAACCACTCATTTTTCTAAAAAATACTATTCCCCTTATTTTCATTTTCAGGTAATGGGGGGTCAAACGGGGGCTAAATGTGTAGAAATTACCGTCATGATATTGGCAACAGAGTTACTTGTCGATAGATGGCTAGTTTTCTTCTCCTAATTATTCTTCTATTTGCGTGTTTTAATTTTTTAGAGTTATTTAAAAAAAAAAAACTATGAAAGGTCGATACCTTAACCTTTACTGACTCTTTCCTTGCCTCTTTAAAAAAATTAGAGGTTCTTTTATGTTAAAAAAAAAACTTTGGAGGGTCGGTATCTTAAACTTTACCGGCTCTTTCCTTGTCTCTTAGAAAAATCCAAGGGTTTTTTTTGTTAAAAACAAACTTTGGTGGGTTGTACCTTAAATTTTACCGGCTCTTCCCCTGTCCTTTGAAAAAAACCAGGGGTTTTCCTTATGTTAAAAACAAAAAAAAAAAATCTTTGAAGGGTCGGTACCTTGAATTTTACCGGCTCTTCCCATATTTTTCTATTGATTTTAGCAAACTTAAAATGTTTTGCTAAACCTAAAACCTTAATTTTTCTTATGCACTTTCTTTTTGTATTTTTCATCTAAAATCTTTTTATTCTAAGTTTGAGAAGTTCTTGGATTTTTTTGGTATGTCAAGCTTATTTGGAATTTGGGTGATCATTTGAAATTTGATGATTTGTGACTCTTGAATATTGGGTCTTCCCCTTGTCTCTGGCTATCTTCTTCTATTACATCTATGCTGCTCTCCTTGTTGGGGTTCTTCTATTGAATGCTTCCCCTCAAGTGCTTTGAAGTTCATCTACATCAATTTGGAAGTTTGATTTGATTGATTTATTTTTCAAACTCAATATGATTATCACTACCCCATATTGAGTTTGAGGGGAGGGTGTTGTATGGAATATTTTCCATTATATCTTTCCAATTATGTAGGATTATTTACCTTAGTAGTTGATTGTGTAATTATTACACAATCTTTCCTTTTAAGTTATTTCCTTTTAGAGTTATTTGTAACCCTATAAATAGGGTGTTCTACATTGTAACACACAAGAACTTATTATATATAATTATTACTTGATGGCAACTCCAGGGCAGCTCCTTTACTAGAGGACGATATGTGTTATTAGGCACACCTTCAATGGCATCATAGTTTTCCGTTTATTTTCAGTATTGACTTTAGTTGTGTTTATTCATGAACCAATATTTTGTTTGCACAACATGATATGAAATAAAATCCATTTTTTATTACTTATATTAAACTAAATAAACAGGAAGTTTTTAGTGACGACTCATATTTATTCTTATTGTAAATTTTAGGTCGTTACATGATTGGTATACCGGTCCCAACCCATGATGTGAGACAATGCAAACTGCAACAATAACATGGAAAAAAATTGATGCATAAATAGAAAATGAGATGATCAGAAGGAAAATAAATTTTATTGAAACGAAAACCTTGCACATACCAAACACAGTCTCTCATAATATCAGTAGCGTAATATGTTAAAAATATCTTCTTTTGCTTCAGATTGCGTCGTTTGTGGGGTGAAGGTAATCAATCTGTGAGTTGATCTTTTGCCTTTTTCTGGATTATATGATTTGAAGAGGAAGATGATAGCACTGTGGTTTGAGGTATTTCTACGATAAGGGAAATATTTTTGGTAAGTTGTCATTTATTTCTTATGCAATTAAGGCTTTTTGGAAGGAAGATATTGCCTGTCCCAAAATTAACCTATTTTTGCCTGATAATGAAAGGAGAAATAGGGGTTGGACGCCAAACTCGGGGTTCCCAGGCGCTAGAAGGGCTGCCTAGGTATCACATGTTCAGGAAAAATTAGATTTTTGGTTTCATTAAATATCTTACAACTAGAATCCCTCTTTTTTCTTATCCAGTTCCTCCACCACTGTGAACCCCAGTTAGATTCAAGCATGCTACACTGTCGCTATTCTTGTATTTTACTCCACTCAAAATACCAATATTAGGCTTCTATAAACACTTGACGAGGTGTATGCTTTTTATAAACATAACGTAACAATTAGATCATTGTTGTATACATTAGAAACTTGAAAGGATTGTTTAGATTTAGGTTAAGAGTATCAAATCTTGTAAAACAATTTTAGTTTTTTGGTATATTGAAATTTTCTTCTTCTACTATATAATTCTGTGTTCTTGTGTGCTCCATTAATTTTCATATTACTTTTATTTTCTCATCTTTATTATTAAGCTTGGTTCTCAACGAATTGATATCAAGGCAATTCTAATATCTTGTTTGTTTCTAACAAGTGGTGTTACAACCAAGATTCTTTTTTGTAGTTCTAAGGAGAGCCAAATTGGTTATTAAAACGAGGTTTGAACAAGATTGATTGTTTGAAGGGCAACAACTATAAAATTTGAGATTCTGCTTTCGGATTACAACACTAGATTTTCTTTATGACAAATTAGAATGTGAAAAGTTCTTACTCAATTGGACTTGGATGATGCTTTATTGGGGCGAATAGAATGCCCGCAACAATGACTACGGACGAGAAGCAACACAAGGATTGAAAAGCCTTATCAAAGATATATCTTCATCTTTCTAATCAAGTTCTTCAAGATGTGGTAAAGGATAAAAGTAGCCATGATTGTTATTGAAATTGAATCAGCTTTGTATGACAAAGAGCTTGATAGTAGCTACATTTGAATCAGGGCTTATATTCTCATTGCTTGACGATGGATTTTTGGAAGATCAACTATTGGTGTTCAAAATCTTCATTGATTTGGAGACCATGGAGGTCAATTACGGTGAATAGGATTTATGGTTGATATTGTTATGTTCATTGCCACATTCATATGTGACTTTTAGAGATACTATTCTCTTTTTAGTCGAGATACTCTCACTATTGACAAGGTATATGATGTGTTTTATTTTAAGGAGAAGGTGAAGCATTTGGTCATTGGATTTGAGGCCTAAGCAGATGGTCTTGTTATTCGTGAGAAGAAGACATGTGGTAATCAAAGGGACAAGGTCAATGATAGCAATAGTGATAAAGTCTATTGGTATTGCAACAACAAGGAGCATATGAAGAAGGATTTCTATGAGTGGTGGAATATGAATAAGTTTGCTACCATAGATCAAAAATGACAATAAGGAAACTCTGGTGGTGCAATGTTGTAGAAAAAATTACAATAATGGAGTTCTTTTGGTAAATGGTGATTTTTGGTAGTGACTCCAAACTTGACCAGGATTGAATTTTTGAAACGGCTTGCACTTTTCATATGTGTTCTAACTGGGTTGGTTTCCTTTATATGAAACAACTACAAGGGTTTCCATGGTGATGGAAAATGATGAGCTTTGTAAAATAGCTACAATCGGTTAGGTCATAATCAAGATGTTTGATGAGATGTCAAGACACTAGGTTTAGTGATACATGTTCTAGGTTAAAACAGAAATATTATCTCTTTGAGTACTCTTGATTCAAAAGGGTACAGGTATACTGGTGGAGGTGAAGTTCTGAAAGTTAGTAATGCTGCTAGGCTTGTGTTAGAGGGGCTGAGAAAATTTTGGTTATATGTTTTTGGAAGGTGCGATGGTCACTATGGAGGCAATTGTAGCTTATGGTTTAATAAATGGCAACTCAGGTAGAGTAGGTTGTGATCGGGTAGCTCATGGTGATTCAGGGAAGTTTGGTGATTCGGTTACAACTGGTAGTAAATTGGATGGTTCAAGCAAGTTTGGCATGCAAGATAATTCTGCTGGTAAGTATGACTTGAATTTTGTTCACAGTTGCTAAGTATGCTTGAATGGGATAGAGGTGCACAGATGAGGTATGTTGGAGCAGATGGAGAATAACTTGAAGAGTGAAGACTTAATTTCTTACTTTGGAATTTGTGTTAACGTGGAGTTTGTTATGTTGTGATTCAAATTTCATGTGATTTGAAAGTTCAATTCATGGAGGAAGCCTAGATAATTTTGATTTGGAAGTCTAGATTGATAAGTGATCAAATTTCATCATGGGTTGGGAGCTTGATTGGGAAAATAACTTCGAAATGGATAAGGAAGTTTTTTAGAAGCATTCGGTCTGAGGTGGGAAGTCTAAGTGCTGGTAGCGAAATGAAAAATAGGGGCTTGGCGCTCATGGCCACCTGTTCAGATTGAATTGGATTTTTATTGCGATTCTTCTATTCTATTCCATTTAAAAATATCAAAATTGGGCTCCTATAAATACTCCATGAGGCGTGACTCTTCGTAGACATAACATAACAATTAAATCATTGTTGTATACATTAGAGTTTTAAGATGATTGTTTAGATTTAGATTGAAAGGATCAAATCTTGTAAAACTATTTTAGCTTTTTGATATATTGAAATTCTTCTCTTCTTCCACATAAATTTTATGTTCTTGTGCGATCCATTATTTTCATATTGCTTTTATTTTCTCGTCTTTATTGTTTGGCCCACTTCTTAACAAATTGATATCAGAGCGATTTTGGTATCTTGTTCGTTTCTAACACACACACACACACATCTACTGCATCAACTTTTGAGTTTTTCTTCTGTTTGTTTAAGCTTCTTTTGCCTTGCTAAATGATGTCTTAAGATGTGATTTTCTCCTCCATAATATGGTTCATTCAAGATCTTAATCCAAATCCCATCCTAACTATTCTAATTCAAATCCAACTAAAAGAAAAGTAATTTTATTTTGTGAAGATGATTTTTTAATATATTTTAAATTTTTTTAAGTGGGAGTCGTTTGTTTGACCGCAATTATTTTCTTTTTTTATATTATTCATTTATTTGTCAAATGTCTATTTAAAGAGGAGGGTAAATTAGTCGTTTTGTAGTATTTTAATGGAGTAAACAAACGGTAAGTACCTTTGCGCAAAGAAATATCGATTTGATGTCCCAAATATTAAAATTAAAACGATAGAGATGATTTGCACAATGAAGACAAATAATATGGATATTTTGTACCAATCACCCATATTCGATGAAAGGAATTGATGAAATGAAACGAAAATAACCAACCCCGCAAGAAAAAGGTTGAAATGAGAGTGCAGATGTCAAGTTTTAGATGATATTGATAATTTACACAATGAATGCAAACAATAAACATGTTTCATGTTAATTACACTTTCAAAAATTGAGTCAAATGATAAATTTACTACACCACGGTAAAAATCGGCCATTGTAATCTTACAACACTAAATAATACTTCACCCGTCTCATTTATATAGTCTGGTTTTATTTTTTGCACAGATTAAGAAATCTTATTTAATGTTATTGAAAAAACAATTTTTGTCAAAAGCTTTTCTAATTTACCCTTATTTATATTTGTACAATTTCAAAATTAAATAAGAAAAAATTGATTATAACTAGACAAATTAAATAAGTATATATTAGTAAATGAACAAAATAAAACATTCTTAATAAAAAAAAATACGATTATATAATTAGGTCAAGAAAATAAGAAACTCAGTCTATATAAATGGGATATAGAGAGTATATGATAGATGAATTTTGAATATTTCCCAAAAAAAAAAAAAAAAAACTTGAAAACACTTAAATAGAAATCGTTTGTAGAGTTAATTCATTAATTATTAGTCGAGTTAATTGTTCCAACGATTATTGAATTTAGGTCCATGTCTTTGAATGGTTACTGAAATCTAAAATATTGAATTTTGGTCACTGAATTTTAAAAAATATTTTACGTAAATTTGATATTTTTTAAAGTTCAATCATTTATGCGACACTGAACTAAGTTAGGTGACAATTAGAACAATTAATACTTTTTGATCCTACCCGTTCACATCCTAAAGGGCCGTCAAAATTTTAGTTCCAACATGAGCCTATATATATCTAACACCAAGTTCGACAACTACCGCCTACCGGGTATTTTCATTCGACAAATCCAGTTGCATATTGTAGTTGTATCGAACCCAGGAAAAACATGAATAAAATCCAGAAAACCGCCGTACTATATCACTACCCTTGCCCTGATGGCGCCTTTGCTGCTTTAGCCGCTAATCTTTACTTTTCTCACTGCTCAACCACCGCCGCCGCTCTCTTCTTCCCGAACACCGTATATTCGCCTCTCAGGTTGGCCCCTCCTCAAAGGCAGTATTTTTAAGTTAAAGGGTATACTTACTTTCTTGTTTTTCAGGGTTGAGGATTTACCTCTAAATGAAATCAACCGTGTTTACCTTCTTGATTTTGTGGGTCCTCCTGGTTTCATTAAAAAGCTCTCTTCCAAAGTCGAACAGTAAGTTCTTTTTGGTAGATTTTTGGCGTGTATTAAAATATATGCATAAAATTAGTTTGAATAGAATCTGAAAACAAGTTACATCTTACATGGCTCGGTTAGCTCATTAGAATTATCCATTTTTGGACATATATAGATGATTTAGTTGTGGGCTGTTTAATTTCTTTAGTTGTTCTTAGTTTGCTACAGCTGTTGCCCGTTGAAAACCAGGAAATTTAGCATAAATTTGAAGATTAGACTTTTACTGCTTATTATCATCGTTTTAAAATGCAACAAGAATAGCGACTTTAGTCAAGCTCCAAAACTTACACTCTAAGGTGCTATTTGTTTAAGCTTACACTTTGACTTATTGAGGCACATGCCGCAAGGTATAAGCATAAGAAGGTGGTAGGGTGCTTGAGCTAGATGTGTTGGATGCACAACTATCCTCCCTTGGGCCTTCTTAGTTGTGTGCTTTTGTTTCTTGCCCCCTTTATATTTTCAATAGTGGTCTCAACTTTTCGGTCTGGTCTTTTATTGCCTAGAACATTTTAAGGGTCTTATGGACTATTTTAAACACTATCCAACCATAAAAGGGAGAGTAGAAGGCAAGAATGCAAGTGGATGGTGAAGAAAAAGGATACTTAGAAGCTACAGTGATGAGATAAGTTGTAGGGGAATCAAATATGGCAATGATTTTGTGGAAGACGTTTGGGCCTTTCTAGCTCTAGGACTAGAAGTGGATTGTCATTTTTGTTATGTCACTACTAATTTGACAATTTATTTATCATTTTTGTTATGTCATTACTAATTTGATCCATGAGAAGATTAAAGCGGAAGCGTACCTAGATCCATGGATTTCACCGTCTAGATTGGGTTTTGATCTTCCAATTGTTATGTGATCTTCTTGAATTTTCTTCTCTATTGATGGGGATGTAGAGAACTGTGTATTCACGTATAATTGGAGACCATGATCCCATAATAACTAATTGTAATTGGCAGTTATTAATTTTGCATTTCAAATTGGCCCCTCATCAATTCAAAATAACATTCTCCGGTCTCTACACTTTTTTCCCATAACATTTAATATCCATTAATCCAAAATTAAGCATAATGGATCACTTTATCGACTTAATTTTAAAATAACACCACACATTTTAATATATAAACATGTTGGCCCCATACGTTGGAATTTTTCCAACAATCAATTTATTTTTTAGTATAATGATCTATTTTATGTTTGTTTGCTAGTTAAATTTTAGTTTGACAAATTGTTTTATTATAGATTTTCAAGATGGTTACATTATATTATGAGCATATTTTTGGTTTTTTAATAATTTTTTGAATTAGTTTATTTGTTTGTGTTGACGCTTTTACGCCTCACCTCATATGGGTAAAACAATTTGGTATCTGATTGAGCCTTTTTAATATTGCATTAAATAGTTTAATAGCCTTCAACTTTTTTTTTTTTTTTTTAATTTGACGTGATTTAATTTATAGGATTGTGGTCTTAGACCATCACAAAACTGCACTTGAGATGCTAGGTTCAGGGGCTTCAGTTAGTGGAAACGTGATTAATGTGATAGATATGAAGAGGAGTGGGGCTACTATTGCTTATGATTATTTCAAGGAAAAGCTCTTACATGGGGACATTAATAGTGGCAAAGATGGTAATCAAGAAGGTGTTCAGGTATTTGATAGAGTAAGGAGACTTTTTGAATACATTGAAGATAGCGACTTGTGGAGGTGGCATCTTCCTAATAGTAAAGCATTTAGCAGCGGTTTGAAGGATTTGAACCTTGAATTTAATGCCAGATTGAACCCCTCCTTGTTTCAACAGGTTATTTTTATGGGGCTCTTCTTATTACTGCATTCGATATATTCTCTCTGTGTGTGTGAGAATGCACACAAGTGTGTACTTCCATTTGTGCATGCTTGTGTATTTTAAAATCAATACCTTTGTCTCCTTTGGTGCAACAAAATTGACTTTTAAACTGTCTCATGCACGAAAGTGATCATTTGGAAATAGCAAGACTTGTAATGAAATAGTTGTTCTGGGTGATCTGAAAACTTTTAGATGTTAAAATATGATTATAATATTACTAGAGGGGTGGAGCTAGAGTTTTAGAGTTGTGGGGGCAAATTTCAAAGAATTTTAATTGTGGGGGCAAAATTGAAAACTATTAAGGATTTTTTTTTTTTTTTTTTTTTTTTTAAAATTTTTTGGGTTTTTTTTTTTTTTTTTGAAAATGTTGTGCAAAATTTTGGATATGCTGATAAGTTTTTCTTATTAGCAGCATTTGGCACTGAGATATTCTTCAAGATGTAAATACGAATAAAAGATTGTACAATTCATGTTAATAAAGTTTGAAAGAAAATTTAATTTCTGAATTTTCCAGTTTTAATAGATCCCATTTGTATTTTGTTGGATCTGGTGTTCCATCATTTCAAGTAGCTTTCTGACAGAAGTTTTGACAAGTCTTTGTTTGGGTTGCAATATCTCCAGCATAAAAATTATAGATGTCTTTTGATGCACTCTGAATCAGAAGCCATGGCCAATTAATCATTGAAGCAGGATATTGTACCATTTTCTTCATTTATCTACACGCTTTCCCATGTTGGATGTTTTGCAAGAAATAGCGATATGACAACAGCATATAATTGCAATGTTCAAAGAACTGTACATGATCCTCCTTATTCTAAAATGGAATAAGTCACGCTAGTCCAAAATTCATTTCTGGTGGTGTACTATTCGCTGAAATTAAGCAATGGTCCTTTATCCTTTCGTGCTCTGATATCAAGATTTAGTGTCACCTTTTCCAATTTGCTTAGAAACAAATTAGTATTTTTTGAAGTTTCAGGTGCTTGATTAGTATTGATTTCTTATTAACCTGTTTCTATGTGGATTATACTACTGTTCCTAGTATAATTCAAGTGCCAATTAAAATTTACCTTTGCATAACATTGTTACTTCATGTATTTGTGATTGCAAATTACCATGCTCTATTCTTCTAAGTTTCTTTACCCAAGTTGTAAATGTATAATATCTTCCCAAATGCAAGCATCAAACCGTGTGTGACATGAGTATTAATAGCTTTTAAATCACATTGTTCTTTAACTCAACTGTGTTCTGTGTAGAAAAATTTGACCGAAGTTTCTTTGTTACGATTGCATTGTATGTGATTGTGGTACCAATTATAAATTTTGGGACCTACAGTTTCCAATAAAGTCATGTATTCATATCATATTCCCAGTTTGCTGCAGGTTCGCTATTTCTAACTAAGACTTCAATAAATGCAGTTGTTATCGTTGGACCTTGAATCTCTCATACGCCAAGGTATGGAGAGCTTATCATACAAACAGAGGCTCATTGATGAGGTTCTTGAGCAGTCATATGAAATTGCACTTGGTGGTGGAGCATATGGACGTTGTCTGGTAAATTAAACGAGTTCCTTCTCATTGTTTTAATATAGTTACGTAGCTGAATTACCTTTGCATACTTGAAAGATATGTTCATGTTAAAGTTAGTTTCTTTCCTCCCTAATAGTCAATTCGTCCACCATGTAGATTTGATCTTGGGTTGTTTGCTTTTACTATTTATGGTATTAGATAGTAGTATTTTATACCCCCTTTTGTTAAGGATTAAAATTAATTTAGTCAAAGTCAATAATTAATTTTAGTCACATTTTATGGAACTCACAATTTTTCGACCTCACATTTTATCATCTTCTTTCAAAATTTACTAAAAATCTGATTTTAATCCCCACAAAACATGGCTATGTATATAAACTTATGTAATGCATATGAAAGGTAGGTGTCAACCACCTGTCTTAAATATATGATCGATGCTCCTATAATGAATGAGAAGACAACCTAGTGCCTGTCATAGAGTTTTCTTAAATTTAGAAATGTTAATTTAATCCAGGTGATGTATTTCTCCTAATTCTAGGTTTCATGCATGCCAGCATTTCTTAAAAACTATTGGAATGGAAGTTTATTTATGAAGAAAATAAACTGGCTAACTTATTAGTGAAAATTACTGTTCTGTCATAATTATAGATGCCATGATGTGGATAATTTGTTGGAATATTCTCCATCGGGATGCTTTTCCTGTTACACTCTTGACGGTCAAGTTAGTTATGAATTCAGATGTGATTATAGGCCTTGTTTGAGCCCCATTTTGAGGAAAAAATGAATTTTTGAATAGTGTATTGATGGGAAGTGTGTGATTAAAAAATAAGGAAAAATTTTGGATTTGCGTATAATATTATTTTATTAAAGAATGTATGGTTGAAATGATGTTAAAACACTGTTTAAGAATGTATTTTTTTGAAAAGAATGAGGCTCAAACAAGGGCACAGTGTTCTCTGGGGAGAATTTGGTTAGAGTTTTAATATTCCAAATGAGTCCAAATAGTAAGAGTGTAGTTGGAGCTGCATGTGTGTGCAACTATGCAGTAATATTTATTGGTTTGTAAAGTAAATTATGTGAGGCAGTTCCCCCATTTGATGGAGCATGATCTTTGTTTAGCATGGATTATGGCTAGATGTCCCCATGCTCCAACTACTTCCACATTGCAAAGGTTTTTTCCAGAGGTTGTGTATCTTAGTGTGAATGGAGTTATTGACTTGGCAAATAGATTCTGTTGAATTGGTTCAGAGATGGAGAGAGAGAGAGAGGGAGGGAGGGAGATTCGAGTCTGGGATGAGTTTGAGGGTTATTATTATTATTATTTTCTCTCAAATCTAGGTAGCTGCCAGTTACTCAGATTTATTTCATGAGAAACATGTCTTAAAAAAAAAAAAAAAAAGGTTGAACCCCGACCTTGAGGGCTCCTACCGCCCCGTCCCTAGAGTTTTGTGAGGGAGGTAAATCTTAGGATATACCCCAACAGGTCAGAGAACAAGAGTTGCCTGTATACTGCGCTTACAAGGAGTCCAATTCCATGTTTCAGGAATCGAACCCCTATATTGCGGCTGCCAACAAGGCGGGAGATAACTTTACTCCTATCCTTTGCACCACTGGGCTGTGCCTCGGGAGACATGAGAGACATGTCTTACCAAGGTGTCAGGTGGTCATAGCCAATTGGATGTATGGTCTGGGTGGTGTCACCATTGTGCCATGTGGGTAGTAATCAATCCGGCAACTCTTTGGCAGCCCTTGAGGTGTGACCGACTGTCTCAGGAATCGAACCCCTATATTGCGGCTGCCAACAAGGCGGGAGATAACTTTACTCCTGTCCTTTGCACCACTAGGCTGTGCCTCGGGAGACATGAGAGACATGTCTTACCAAGGTGTCAGGTGGTCATAGCCAATTGGATGTATGGTCTGGGTGGTGTCACCATTGTGCCATGTGGGTAGTAATCAATCCGGCAACTCTTTGGCAGCCCTTGAGGTGTGACCGACTGTCATTCTTTTGATTTACCTAGTCGACTGCTTGATTTTACTTTTCTTCCGCGTTTGATATTTCCTATCGCCCCTTACTCATTTGGGTGACCGTTGCTTGATATGTCCTACAGTTAGCTGCCCTCAAGGTGTGACCAATAGTCATTCTTTTGATATGCCTAGTTAACTATAATTTGACTTGCCTCTCACTTTTGATATGTACTACAGTTTTCCCCTCAGTCTTACCATTTAAGAACAAGCACAATCAATAACATGCATCCATATACTTGGTATTCTTCAGTGTTTATGTTTCGTCTTTTTCGATATCCTAAGACTTGGATGATCATTTATTTTATAAAAAAGTGTTCAATTCAAATTTTAAAACAAATGGGAATCTAGGCACAGTTATTGCAGCCGCTTGTATCTCAACCCTAGTATCTTCTCACACCTCTTTCTCTTGGATCTTGGAGGTTGCAGGGCTTTGGAGTTTTGTCCCCTTTTAAGTTCTTCCTCCTTCATCTTTAGCTTATTCTTGGCTAGGCACTCTCACTGTTGTTCAGCTTGCTTCTAAGGTTGAGGCCCATCCGAACACTCGCATTCAACAATCTCAACCTTCTTCATGAAGAACTTCTAAATGTAGCTTTTTAGAAATTCCTCTCACTTGTTCCTGGTGACAAGATTATTAAATGAATGCATTCCCGACTTCGGATTCGACTGAATGGAGCTTGCTGACAAGCTACTGAACCTGATCACAGCTAGCTCTCCCAGTTGATGGGAACGTCCAAAACAAAATCGATAAACCAGGTTTCATTTATCTGATTGAATATCTTCAAATGAGTAAAAATTTATATTAATCACGAATAATTTAAAACTTAATTAATCCCAATCCAGAGATCTTCTGAATATCTGTTTGAACTACATTGTCTAGTAACTCTAGTTTGTTTTGTTGCCTACTAGCCTACAGAATGCAAATCATCATTTGGGCTATGCTTCATATGAGCTACACGAATGTCTGTGCTATGTGTATGGATAGTAGGAAGTTTGTCACGTGTTTTTAGTTATTATTTCTTGAAATTGTTAAATGCTATGACTAGCTATTTCAATATATTTTATCTTGTTTTAGGCGGTATTGAGTTAACATATCTGGGTTTAGAAATTGAATTTGTTGATATTAGTCATGGAGTTGGGAATACATGAATACAGTCTTTTTTTCCTCCCTTCCTGTAGGCCGTCGATGCAGATTCCATTTCTGAGTTAAGGAGTGAGCTTGGAAATCAGTTAGCAAATAAAAGCCATAAAAGGAACTTGAGGTTTGTTCTCTACACTTCACTGGAGTTTTAAGTATTCATTTTTGAAATGAAAATGGGTAGAATAGTGTTTTTTTTTTTTTTTTTTAAAGTGAGTGGTTGAAAAAGAAAGAAAAATTTTCAGTTTACTTGTAATATTATTTTATAAAAGATTGTGTGGTTGAAAATAAGAAAGAGGAAAATGAAATGTAATTTAATGAGATTCAAACATGGGCTAAATTTCCTCCTTTACTTTTTATAGTGCATTTCATGCATTTTAAAATTTGCTGGTTGAGTTACTTCACAAGCTATGAAATTGTGTCACGTTGTCTTCGTCGTTATCATCATCATCTATTGATGTTGTTTAGGGGAATTGGAGCTGTTGTATATAGAGTACCCGAGCTTGAAAATGATGATCTGCTGAAGATAAGCCTAAGAAGCATTGATAATGAGGATACGACCCCGATTTCACAGGTATGCATTTTTTTATTTTATCACTTTGAATCTTCCTTTCGCTTGAGAACTATAGGATAATGTAGCCGAAGCCAACTCTTTTCCAGTACCTATGCAGGAATACGGAGGTGGGGGGCATCGAGATGCTAGTTCATTCATGTTAAAAAGTGAAGAGTTTCAGACATGGAAATCTTAGGTTGATACCTCGACCTAGGCGTGTAGCCCCTTCTATTCTAATTTGTTTAGTACCATTACTTCCTATGTGAGGGGTCCCCTTCTATATTCTTAATTATGTTTCCACTCATGGATAACACTGGTTGACGTTGTACATAATTTTTTGCACATTAAGGTATTCATACACTCATATATTCGAGCGGGCCCCATCCCATGTGCGTAGGGAACATCTTGATAGACAAAAAATATGTACACCTCAGAGCCAAGTACCTTGTGTGCAGAAACAAAAACATATGCACATGTTCTTTAAACCTTAGACAATGTGAAGGGATCTTTTCAATTGAGAACAAAGTTCTTTTTTTGTAATAACTGCAATAATTTATTAATTACTCAATTCATTTTTAAGCATTTTTGTTTTCCTTGGTTGATTTGGACACTATATTTTATCAACTTATGTCCTGTGTTGGGTCAACAAAAGGTACAGGTACAAACGTATGTAGCTTGCCATTTTCAAGTGCATTAAATTTCTGCAAAATTGTACCACTGTTCTTCAACCTAATTTTCTAGTAGCAATTTAGTGATCAAATTGTATCCCACGTAACTCGTCAAAGGTTTGCTTTGTAAGTTTATAAGCGATTATGACATTGTGTTTTGACAAACCTGTTTAAAGGAGTTTCTTTCAAAGTGGTTTGTAAAAGCAAGTAATTGGTTTTCAACCTCAAAAAGAAAAGTAAGGCCCCATTTGGTACTCATTTTTTTTAAAATGTATTTTTCTCTTTCTTCTTTTCAACTACACATTCTTTATTAAAATATTACACGTAAATAAAAAAAATTTCCTTATTTTTCGACTACACATTTCTTATCAATTTACTATTCAAAAATGTATTTTTACATAAAAATGTCTCTCAAACACCCTCTTAATTTTCAAGGTTTTACAAATAGGCTTCGATGATGAGAAAGTTATCTAGACTCCTTGATATTCGTTATATTATGTGACGTTTATGGAAACGTGTTCACATATATCCATCAATTTACTATTCAAAAATGCATTTTTATATAAAAATGTCTTTCAAACACCCTCTTAATCTTCAAGATTTTACAAATAGTCTTCGATGATGAGAAAGTTATCTAGACTCCTTGATATTCGTTATATTATGTGATGTTTATGGAAACGTGTTCACATATAATGTATAAGAGTTTTTGGCACAAGTTGAGAAATGAAATCTAGCTTTATAAAATTGGATAAAAATGAGGGGCACATGATGGTTATGGAGATTTGAATGATTTTTCGTTGATGGAGGTTAATCGTGCAAATACAATGAAAAAATGAAGATTAAGTTTCTCATAAATATTTAAAAGTTGGATACCAATTTGGTATTCGAGCAATAGGTTGGGGAAGCGTAACACAATTTCCCCTTAAGTTTCTCTCAAAAGATTACAATTGCGAAGTTACCGAAGGGCAAGAGTTGATGGACAAATGAATTCACAACTAAAGTTTGAAGATATGCCAACATAGGCCCCCTATCTACCCAACAACCAAAGAAATTAAGGACAGATAATAATGAATTTGATATTTTTTTTTTATAAATAAAGAGTTTCTTGAAAATATTCTAAAGTCTATATTAATTTCAAAGTTTTAAAATATATTTCTAAATAAAAATGATTTATTCTATGTTGTTAATTAATTATTTGAATAAGTATTTAAGTATCATCAATAACTTGATTTCGTTCCTATTTGTTTCTCTTTAAAACAAAACGTTTTAAATTTTCATACTCATTATCAACCACACATTCATATAATAAAATATTTTGTACGTAAAACCAAAATTTTTTTCAACTTTTTAACCACACATTCTTCAAAAAATCACTATTTAAAATATTGTTTTGGGCAAATAATGGCCATCAAACACTTAAAAGGGGCTAAATAATAAAACGATATGCAAGTTGAATTTTGAATATTTCCAAGAATATAAATTCGTAAACACTTAAATAGAGTCTGCATTCTGGGGTTAATTCAGTAATTATTGATCGGACTGTAGTAAACAAAATATTTTGCACATAAAGTTTAGCTCACTGTTTATCTTTGTGATTGGTTTACAGGAAATCGTTGGTTCACTCTTATCGGGTAATGTGGCCATATTGGCACCATAGAACTTACAAGTCAACCACATCTTAATTGCATTATTGGTTTCTAACATTTACTTATTGTTATAAAAATGTCTCCAACTTTTTTAGCACATTCTTATCTTTCATAATTTCATATTCTATAAATTAGTGAATAATGCCCCGAGTACAGGTCAGTCCCACCGACCTGTATTAAAAATAAAATAAAATAAAATTTGCACGAGTCCTGCCTTGTTTCTGTTCTACCAGAGGCCTATGAGCCTCTGTCTGTACGTGAAGTAGAACTCTAAATTAGTATACATTCATACAATAAAATATTTTGTATAATAAAATAGGGTTGACACCTTGAACTGTCAAGGTAGTTGAATAAACCATTCCACCAATTAAGGTAAGCAAATTATTTTTATCGTAGAATAGGAGTCTTCTAAGACCAAGTAAAGTGGTGGATATGTATACATATTGGGAAATCATCGCCCTAAAATACAACAAAAGAATTTCTTATAAGGCTTTTATATTGAATGATTTAAATTTTAGCCCACTGCTTATCTTTATGATTGGTTTACTGAAAATCGATTATTGCGTAGTGTGGCTGTATTGTCACCATAGAACTTACAAGTCAACCACATCTTAATTGCATTATTGGTTGCTAACCTTTACTTATTGTTAAAATAATGTCTCCAACTTTTTTAACACATTCTTATCATTGATATTCTATTAATTAGCACATCATGTCTCTTATGATGACTTTCATCAAAAAAATAAAAATAAAAATACTTATTTGTCCCTTTTTTTTAAATAAGCAAAAATAATAATAAATATGAAACTGAAACTAAATATTTGCCTATTTATTTTAAAACACAATAATAGATTTTTTGGATGAATGAGGATAATATGATTAAAAACGTTGGAGATATGTGTGCGACAATAAGTTAAAATTAAGGACATTTAGGGCTCGTTTGACTTGACTTTTGAAAAATTAAAAAGATTTTTTTAGGCCTAAAAGTTGCTTTTGGTAATTAGAAGGGCTTTTGGAGGAAGCTTGTTTGATTTAACTTCCTCTATAAGCACTTCTAGAATGGAAAGTGTTTTTAAATATTAGTTTTCAAATAAAATTAAGGCAACTTCCTCTAAAAACTTTTCTACAAGAAACAATAATTACCCTATTGAAAATCTTACTTATGAGGGGTAAGAGTTTAGCTGCATGGATCAGAAAATGCAATTACTAATTACAAAATAACATAAGCTTACAAGATATGGTTGGGAAGTGTTTATTAACCGTCTATAAATGTTCAATATTGGGTCAAATCAATTTGTTTCCACGTATTTCATAGGATCCACAAGTATTACTCCTTTGTGCACCACTTATTTCTATCGATTTTTATAAATAAAACCGTTAATAAACACTTCACAAACGAACTAAATAATTCGAGAATTGAGAGTGCATTCGTGTCTTTAGTAGAATGTACGAAAAATAATAACTAGACATGATAATATCTAATTACAAGAGCTTAAATTATATAGATTTAACAGGTCTCTAGAATTTTCTCTCTTTTTGAGCTATCCAGAAATTGGTCTGGGTCAGTATGTTTTGGAACATGTATTGATTATACATATTTTATGATGGTTTTTCGAAAGCGTAATGTCGGGATACGCATTAAAGTGTGTAGTGCCTGGGGGTAGTGCTATGAGTTTTATTTTGTGGGGGACACCATGACGGTTAAAGGTGCTACAATGCCAGCAAATACTACGGTGGCTATATTGTCTATAGCAGTCAGTGGCGGATCTAGGTAGTGGCGAGCTATGGCGGCCAGCAAATATTACGATGGCTATTTGCCTATAGCGGTTAGTGGCGGATCTAAGTAGTGACGAGTTGGGACGGCCGCCCTAGTTGGATCTGTCGGGAGCATTTTTATTTTGGTTGACAATAAATTAACGTTTTACATTATATTACTAATAATTCCTTTTTCGTTTAAACTCTCTTTTTGGTTAAAAATGGTTAGAGCTTACATTTACGTTTTACAAGTCTCGGTTTCGAATCTTTTCACAGCCAATTTATTGTGCAAATTTTTTAGTTTTACAATTTCTACCAAAATTAATGTGGTAGGAAAGAGTTGGATGAGATTCGAACCAAGAGCTCTATTCTAATCATTGAAAGCCTAACCACTCTGGCACAACAAAATAATATATATTAAATTTATTGGGTTTAATAAAATTATAAAGATTCAAAATAACGCTCTTCCTTTAAATTATACAAAACTTGGCAACAATATCATTTGGTGAATATACGATTTATTCTTATAACATAATTATATATGTTGAATATAAACAAAATAATTGTTATATTTAAATTTTAGGCCTTGTTTTATTTTTATTTTTTTCAAAATACATTTTTAGCTATCTTATTTTTAACCATACATTTTTCAATAAAATAATATTACACGCAAATTCAAAATTTTTTCCTTATTTTTAACCTCACATTCTCCTTGAAATCCCTATTTCATAATGCATCTTTTGCTAAAAAAAAATGACATCAAACGGATTCTTAATACTTTATTGAGGTTAACGATCGATAATCAACGGCTGCCCGTGCTCACTCAAATCCTGAATTCGCCACTGATAACGGTCGACAAGCTGCTGTAGCTGATAGAGATAATGACATTCAAAGAAAATAATAAAGATGAATAAAGACATTTTTATTTATTTAAAAAAAA